GTAAAAGTGAGAAAACTCGTGGGTTGAGATAAAAACAGTTTAATAACTGAAATAAAATGATGTAATAATAATAATAATAATACTACACAAAGCAAGTGATGCACAATCAATTGCACCCGCCGACTGATGCCCAGCCAGTCCCCGAGCAGTGGCCCCCCCGGCCAGCTTTCCCCAGTTTATGTACTGAGCATGACGCCACATGGTATGGAATGTCCCTTTGGCCAGTTTGGCTGTGCCCCCTCCCAGCTTCTTGCGCACCTCCAGCCTTCTCAGTCGGTAGATCGTGGGAAGCTGAGAAGTCCTTGACTAGTGTAAGCATTACCTGGCAACAACTAAAACATCAGTGTGTTATCAACATTGTTCTCACCCTAAATCCCAAACACAGCACTGTACCAGCTACTAGGAAGGAAATTAACTCTATCCCTGCCAAAACCAGGACAGGAGTCTACTTCTATTAAGGAGAATCAGGGAACTGTAGAGGATGCTCAAAATTTAGGATCAACGTTGTCAAACTTGGGATCCCCTAGAGAGGGGTACTTTTAAGAAGTCCTGAGCCCCCGTCCCCTGCTACCCATAACTACTGGGTATTCAGCAACTCTCAAATCAGAATATTTCAGCTATTGCCTACATAAAGAGTTAAGTATCAAGTAACAAAAAAAGTTAACCCATGCTAATTTTATTGGGCGTAACTAAACTAAAAGACATGCTGTTTTCAATTTTTGGCAACATATCCTAACCACTGCTCTTTCTGTTACCTTTCAGGCTAGGTAGGGAGTGATCACACAGCACTAACAGCAATCCCTGCCTCTCTGTCACGGTAACTCTAATGGTCTTTCACAAGGCCAACGGAATAATCATACTAAGTGCACTGTAATACCAAGGTGTCAATTATCGACGTTCCATGGAAATGACAGTCATTAATGAAGCCGCACTTTGTCAAGAAATACTGAATTAAAACTCTTTTCTGCCAACATTACATAAATATGGCTGGCTAAAACCCACTGAATTAGCTCAAATTAGGTTTCATACAGCTTGAGGATTTTTTTTATTCAAGTTATTTAAAAGCAGAAGAAAAAATCACAGTGGATAAGTTATCAGAACAATATACAGTAGCATTAGAATTAGAATATACAGATATATGTAAAATAGATGCATCCTACATTTGTGGCAGAAGAGGAAAAGACTCTGCAGCATTGTTTTGGAAAGACCAAAAGGGAAGAAGCTGGGAGTCGGGAAGATGGTAAAAAGGCTACAGTAAAACTGGAGTTGAAAAAACCCAAATATACATGTTATCCATTAACACTGTATCTTATCAAATTCACAGAATAGAAACCTTCACAAAGTATTAGGCACTTACCTGCACAGAAATGGACACCATCACTCATTTCCACCCCATTTCTATGCAGACCAGTGATGCTATGCCAACGTGACAGCACTGAGGGGGCCCCAGCAGTAGAGAACTTCTGAGGGCGGTTAGGAAGGAACGCAGACAGAAGCTGCAAGAAAAGTAGTGGGAAGAGTTTAAAGGTCTCTGCAAGGTCACTGATCTGCCAGATAATCACATAAAACTACAGAGGGATGGATTAAAGAAGCAGAGAAAAAAAATAACAACCCAAGAACTATGAACAGTTTGAAAGATGAAGGTAAAATAGGATTTAAATCAAAACGCAGAAATAAATTTGGCACCTGAGACAAGAAAGTCAAAGCTGGTGTGAAAGAAAGGAGTGCAAGAGGTTAAGTGTAGCTGCCCATCAGTCAGTACCAACCCAGGCAAGCCACAGGGACAGTAACAACTGGGAACTGTGCCCTCCAGCCACGGCACGCTGCATGCGAGTGGAGCATCTGTAAACAGATCCCTGCAAATTATGTCTATTAATTTTGCAATTGTTACCATAATACCATTGAATGAAATAGCCTCTATTTTACATAAAATAACAATTTGATTTTAGCAGGATCATTTTCCTCTATGTAAAAAATCTTATTAAAGAAGAAAATTATTTGTTCTTTGCGTTCACTGAGAACAAGACAAAAAGAAATCAACTTAATTTGCACCAAAGGTTTAAATAAAACCTAAGGATGAAGGATGATGGCGACATATGGAAACTAAGAGGCTGTAAATCTTTGTGTGTGAGTGGGCATTTCTTTCTCGGTATCAGACTAGAGAAACATCTATAAGGGATGGCTTGAGGCCATGTAAGTTGCATCAGGGTGAGGAACCACTGCGAGATCCATGGTTCCCGCATTTAGCTGGCAAAACTTCACAAAGACATGCGTTCATTCCCTAGCCTTTTAAATTATTCAATACATGACTGAGGGTTCATGCAAAAGGGGCTGTTGGCTTAATGAAGACCAAAGCTGGTGTATGTTGAGGGCAAGATTCACAGTCACTATTCTCCTGAATCAAAACGACTACCATCTCTTGTCCTCTGATTTTCTGGTGAGCAGGAAGGATGACAGCTGTACATCTTTGGATGATGGAGTCCAGCATCCCCCTGCAAATGGGAATGGAGCAGGTACCGGAGGCAGCTTCTGTGCTTTGCTACACCCATCGGGTCTCCCCCTTGACTGCCACTGGCTTTCGCCAGGATGGCAAGGACACTGCTCTCTCTGTCACGGTTTTTGCTGAGGCAAGAGATGTGCCCTGCTTGGAACAGGGACTCCTTCTCTTTGGGGTCCGAGAGCCAACACTCACTGTCTGCCACTTCTGAGGGAAACAGCCTTTACGCTGCCAGGACACGGGCCTATGGAGCTCCGCTCTGGCTCCAAAACCTCCCTGGC